AGTGCATGCAGGTGTCTCAGAGAACTTCTCTCAGCTGGACATTGTGCTCTAGTGAACTCCAGCTCCCTGGTGAAATCTCATCTGCTTTCAGTTGAGTGGTTTTGTTACTGGTTTTGGTGCTTCTTGTATAGTGTCCACTGGGAGTGCTGAGCATTTTGAAAGGTAATCAATGCACGTGTGTGCATTGAACCCAAATAAATTCTGAAGGAGAGAATCTTGGATCTATATTTCTGCCTAGCAGTGTGTGCATCTGACTTTGGGAAGGTAGGGGGAAGGGCTTTTAGCACTTATCTGGGCAATTGAATGTATTTGGTTTTTTAGATCAGTAAAAGGAGGAAGTGAGATACTTTTAGAAACTGCAAGGGCTTTTTGGTGGGGGTAGGAAGTTAGGCGTTACACTGATCTTTAGTTTCCATAATGTGAGTAAAGGGAGAGAAAAAAAAGCCCTAGTAATAAGTTTTATAGATGAAGCAGAACACAGGGCTGACAGAGCTGCAGACTCACCTCCCTGAGGTGAGCCTATACAAATTAACCTGTACAAAACCTCCTATGACATAATGTGACTGCATATACAGATGGCCCTGTCTGTAGCTCACTGTACTTGCCTAGGAAGGACACTTAAGCCAAGCTTTCCTTAGAAAGGCAGGCTGGGTCAGACTGTACTTCCACTGGCAGTCCCAAAAGTGTGGCTCTTGAGTTGAACAGTGACATGAACATAGGAATACTTTCCAGCTTTCATGGCTGTCTTGCAGGCTGTACTGTGAAGAAGAAAAAGATCCTAAGCGTCGTTCCTGTCAAACTGTACTAGCAGAGGCTTTAGACGTAGTAGTCCGATCCTTTGCACCAATCCTTCCTCACTTGGCAGAGGAGGTTTTCCAGCACATCCCTTATAAGAAAGGTAAAGCACATAAAATTCCTAAGAATTTTTTTCTTGCACTGTTTAATTGCAAATATAGAGATATGCCCTTCTTTTTTATTCATTTAATAAACACTGGAATAGAAAGACTAAACTAAAAATGTCTTTGTTTTGCTTTCAAGACTCAGAGGGTGTGTTTAGGACTGGCTGGATTAATGCAAGCTCATCATGGAAGAAGCCTGGCATTGAGGAAGCAATAGAAGGTGCATGTGCAATGAGAGACTCTTTCCTTGGGTCCCTCTCTGGCAAGAATTCTTTGGAATATGAAGTCATGATTGTAATTGAGCCCGGATTGCTGTTTGAATTAATGGAGGTAAAAAAATGCAACTACAGAATAGAATAGTCTGTGTGAAAAATACTGCTTTCAGTAAACTTTCTTCTGCTTTGTACTTGCAAGAAAATCACCGAACAGTTGAGGTTGGAAGGGACTGCTAGAGACTGTACAACCCAAAGCCCTTGCTCAGGCAGGCTTACCCACCCTAGAGCAAGTTTTGCCCAGGACTGTGTCATCAGCTTTCGAATGCTTCTGAGGATGGAGACCCCACCACCTCTCTGGGCTACCTGCACCCACTATTTGACCACCCTCAGAATAAAATAGTGGGTTTGTGTTTTCTTGAAGAAGGATCCCCTTCAACTTGCTGGCAATGCTTTTTCTAACACAGCATCCTAATTTGGATCTGCTGGCTGCCTCTGCTGGGAGATGATAGTACTAGCTCATGGGCAGCTGCTTGGACACCAGGACCCCTTCTCTGTTAAGCAGCTTTCCAGCCACTGTTCACCTGAACAACAGTGCAGCCATCTGTTGTATCAGCCATTCCTCTGAGCACTGTAATCAGCAAATTTGCTAAGGATATGCTCTGCCCCATCATCCAGCTTATTAATTAATATATTAAAAAGTACTGGACCCCATACTGACACCTGAGCTACACTATTAGTGACTACCCTCTACCTCTGCACTCCTTGACAACACCTGTTCTAGTGCCATTGGCAGTACTCCCCCAAAGTCATCTGCTTCCTTGAGGTGAGGGTCAAAATAAGCTGCAGAGGGAACCCTGGACAATGCAGTTCAAGTTTGTACTGATGCTCCTGGCAGGAGTAAGTAAATTAGGCTCTTGGTTTAAATAATCCATGCTGAGTAGGAACCATGATTTAGCATTTGTTTTAAAGAATGGAGAATCTTAGAGCTTACAGAGGTAGATACTGAACTTGAACAGAACTACCTATATGCGTATGTTTGGACACGCACAGGCACACATGTATGTAAACAAACTTGTGCTCTCTCCCTGCCAAGGCTCTGACAGCTGCTGCAATCACATCCACAGCAATTCTACTTTTGCTTTAACATTTTCTAGGAGGATGCTGAGGAACAAAACCAGGTTGCAAGTCTGAAAATTAACTCTCTCCCCTAGGCACTACAGGCTGAAGAAACTTCTAGTACTTCACAGCTGAATGAGATCATGATGGCTTCACAGACAACACTGCTGAGTGAGCTACCCAAAGAAACACCTGCAGATGTAAACATCATCAAAGGGACCTTTCTGATTAACTTGGAAGGTAAGAGAAGTATTCCAGACAGGCTACAGTGCTAAGCAGCTGGTTCTTTCCTGTATTACAACAAACTTTGTTGCTCACATCATATGTGTGTAGCATCTGAGTGTTTGCCTACAGCTCCAGGCTCGCTCTCAGCAATAACTGTTGTTAACAGGTGGTCTCATCTGTGAAGAATCTTCATACAAAGTTATAGCCCTGCCAATTGCCAAAGCGAAATGTGGTCGCTGCAGGAGATACACTTCCGAGTCCTCAAGCACTCCCTGCTCACGGTGCCTCAATGTCCTTGCTGGAAAAGGGAGCACATGAAGATGAAATGCCTATGCAGAAGCTGCTTCAAGTCTTTAGTACTGAAGTCTACACCACAGCAGAGGCTAACCAGAAGGTCTGCATACAAAACCTGTAGAACCAGATGCTTAAGCCCCAGCCTGAGCAGAATTACCATGTATTTTGGGGGGAACTGTATGTGTGTGTATATATATATATATGTATATATACACACACACACAACTACTTGTGTATATCACTTTTCAGCTTAATAAAAAGGGTGGTTAAAAATAACTGACTGATTTACTTGTTCTTAGCCAACTGGTTTTCTTTGAAAGTTCACTTCCATTTAAGTGAAGCTCCCCAGTTAACCAGCTGTTGTTGTGTACTGTCAGCAGGTAGCTCTGCAGATCCCCAGAGAACCAGTCCTCCCTCCTCTGGAGTGTCTACCCATTTTGTAAAACAGAAGAAAAGGTGGTGACCACCATTCTCTATAAAGAAGGAAAAGACAGTGAAACTTCAAATTTTATTTAATCAATTTACACAAATCCACAGCAAATTAGACACAAAATAGCACTATATACAGAGTATTACTTACAATACATTACATATTTGAGTGGTGTAGTGAGTCAGCTCTGACATGATACTCAGTTACAGTAAAATCCTTTACACAGCTGGACTAGGATAGAGGAATGTAATGCACCTAAGAAACACTTTCGGTTTTCCTCTGATTCCATGACAACCAAAACCTCAAACCTACTCTTTTCTGCAGAAGTGTGAAGTGCTGTCAGGTAAGGTGGTCAAGTCACCTGTACAATATTGCCATCTCCCATTTTTCTCCTACAGCTGTTTTAGCCTCAGTTACGGAAGTCACTACAGAAGTAAAGAGAATATAGACCAGGGCTCGTACTTACTCTTACTAGAATTCTTACTGTTCTTTACTCTGGCTGTAGGAAGTCAAACATTTGGTTAACAAATCAAGAAGCCTTCATCAGCTACCTTGGAGTGCAGTGATCAGGAACACATGAAGGAGGCTGTGTGGAACAAGCCACCTGTATAACATTTTTGGAGAAGTCTAACCCTTAGATGACAGCAGCACATACTTCAGAAAGCTAAGACCAAATTCTAAATCCTGTCTCCAGGAAGGCAGGATATTATGAATGTTTCTTACATACAATGCAAGAGGAGCAGGTTACAAGATGGAGCTAGTAATTTCAGCTGACTTCAAGACAAGAACAGTTTACACCAGTTTCATTTTTCTCTCCTGGCTTCCTTTAGGCAGACAGTGAGCAGTACTAACTGATGACAGATAATCCATTTCAATACCACTCCAATAGTGAAGACACTCATTATGATTCCCTGTAGGTACCATAAATAAACGAGAGTTTTTTAAGGCTACTCAGTACTACAGAGATCTTAGTGAAGTTAGATCAACTTGTTAAGCATTTTTGTCTACAAGTTAACATGTGCAGAGATTTATAGCATACTACATCATCTACTGTGATCAGATGGAGGAACAATCTTACAGTAAGACATTCCTTGACCTACGTGAACTCTGCAGAGCTTAATAATAATGGAGAGAGATGTAAATCCAGTTTTAGCTGAAGCCCAGCACCCTAGAGACAATGCTGGGAGATTTGGACTAAGAGATGAGTCCATATTTGTGTCTGGAGAATTGGATTCTGCTTCCTATGCTGTTCTCCCTTTGGATAAGGCCCCAGCATGTTTCATCCTATGTCTAGTGCACTTGTCATTGTCACATACAATGCAGTTACAAGGCATGACCCCAACACCACCTCTGGCTTCAGAAAAAGCAGTATTGGCTTTACATGATAACATCAGGAGACTGAAGTTCTTCTTGGGTCTACTTTTAAAGCCTGTTTTGAAAAACATCATACATGGAACATGGAAACTGCAGCAGTTACTGCCAGCATGAAGTACAGAATTTCACAAGATGTGATTTTGTTAAGAAACTAAAACTGCTGTCAAATTCATCCAATTTAAACAACTGCATAAAGCACCCAAGTCAGAAATAAATAACAAAGCAGTTCAGATACTGACAAGTGTACTAGAAACTAAACATATTTGTACTAGTGCAGAATTTAAAATATACTCCAATTTTAAACTGCTTCCTGAACTTCTGGAACGGGGAGCATTGTTCTTTTTGTTGCTTAACAGGAGCCACATGGAAGTTTCTTTCCATAGAACTCAGCCTGTGTCAAATCATGCACTGCAGCACTGTACAGCTGATCTGTGCTAACCAAGGACGTCACGCCGGGAGAGCTTCCACAGCCTCGATGAGGTTCAGGGCCAGACTGTACTGCCCATGGTTCTCTGGTAAGTGCTCGATGACTTTGTTAACCAGCTTAGCTGTTGCTGCCATTGGCACTTCAAGATTTTGAACTTCCTGGGGGTCCTATCAAAAAGAATCAACACAGCATTAGGGAAATTTTACAGATGATCATTTTTGTCAAATCCCTCCAGAATTTGTATAAAACACATTGCTATGGTTTATAAACCCAGTTAAGCTGATGCTTTGACCCATGAAACTGCTTTACCCTCCCTGAAACAGAACTGCCACTGGGAAAAATGGGAACAAATTCTTGTTTCCATGAGTAAGAAAGGGCCATTCAGATGTAACCTCTGCCTTGATGAACAGAAGCTTCTGAAAAATCAACCTGTTTTCCTTAATCAGGCTTAACTTACCATAGCTTTGAGCCAAGTACATAGTGTTGGAGGAAGCCTAGTGAGGACATCCATACCCTCCTGTGTCTGTTCATGGAGCAAAACGAAGGCCAACCTCTGCCCAGCCAGCATGAGCAGCTGTGATGCAAGCACCTCCTTGTCAGCCACCTGAAGAAAAGCCTGAAAACAGAGAAATGTAAGGCATTAGAAACCATTTCAGCATGACACAGCTCACACATCTGGAGGCCTGAAAAGCTGGATGTAAAGAAGGTTCTCAACAGTAAAAGGACAGATAGTTTTTGAGATTGTTGCCTGTGTTACATGTTACTGTAATAAAGCACGTTACTAAGAGCTTAAGAGCAGAAGAGTGAAGGAAGTAATTCTCTCCCTTTGTACTTCACACAGGCATTAGCAGAAACACAAGACCTGTTTTACAGTTCAGCAACATACTCCTAACTTCCATATACCCTCAAATTTACTCTTCCTCTCAGGAAGGGAAGGATTTTCTTGTCCAAAGACTGGTAAAATTTTCCTAAAAGAAGAGATTAAAGGCAAAAAAAAAAAAAGTAAATTCCTAAACCTATCAAATATAATTTTAAAAAAAAGGCCATACTGGTTTAGACCAGTATAAGTCCCTGTCATGTTTCCACTAGTTGCTAGACAGATTCTCATTGGGAAAAACGAACACGAGGGTAAATTACCGGTCTAGAAAAAGTACTTTTACAGTCTGACTTTTGAGCCTGGGGATTTGCTGAGCTTGATAAATCTTGCCTAACCCTTCCAGGCATCTTAATGTTGCACTGATTAAAAAACTTTAGAAGCTGTTATTACCTCTTCACCAAGATGATCCATCCCGTAACTATACAGTTCACAGACATAATGCCTTTTAACCAGATCCTCAGAGATTTGGAGGTACTGAGCCAGGTCTGCAGCCAAAGTTGGCCAATTCTTTCCCTTTTCAAAAGGAAACAACTCCTCTTCTGAGGCTTCTTTGTCCTTTTGTGATGAACATAGTGTTTGAACTGCTGCAGTCACTACTTTGAGCAAGAACTTGGAAGCAAAAATTGCAGGTTACTTCAGTATTATTTGGAATTTTAGAATTATAAGAACTTAAGAGTACAATACTTATGCCTACCTGTTGTCGTATGGATAACACATTTGGATCCATATCCCCACTAGGTAGCAGCTGAATTGATGTAAGGTCTTTGAAAAATGCATTTCTGCCCTAAAATTGAGAACCAAAGACAAGCCTCAGGGATACAGGGGAATACAAGTGATTCATTACTAAGCAACCCAGTTATTTCTTGCATTTAATTTGTACTGCATCTTCTATTTTGCTTTGAGGGCAAAGAATAATATTTGAAGTTAAATCCACAGACCAATCCAAACGTGTTCATGCAATCATAACATGTCAGGGATTTGCTTTCAAACTTAAAACCATCTGTCTACTAAATTAGGCAGCTGATACCAGCTGGAGGTGAAATTTGGGTATATTTCCTGGTCCCTGGCTCTACACCAACATACCCAGCACAATATAGAATAACAGAATGTTAAGGGGTTGCAAGGGACCTTAAAGATCATCTAGGCCCAGCCCCCCTGCCATGGGCAGGGACACCTCCCACTAGACCAGGTTGCTCAAAGCCTCATCCAACTTGGCTTTGAACACTATGTAAGAAGAAACACAAAATAGCTGATAGGAAAATGTATTTTATCTATTATCGATATAGTTTACACTGCTTAATTTAAAGGTCTCCTGAACTACAGGTTAATCAAATTTCAGGTAAACCCCTGAACAATGGCACAAGGTAGTCCCTGTTGCAGCCCACTATGCTCCAGCAATGACACACTCAGTGCCAAGCACCTCTAGCAGTCCTGCTCCATACCAGTGCAGGGAGTAGCGAAACTGGTACCAAAAAATGCCAATGTTAACAGACAGCAATGAATGTGTAGGTGCAGAGAGTGATTTGCCTTGTCAGAAATAAGGTAATAAATGGCCTTTGAGACTTCTAACCACTTTTTCAGCCATCAGCCAAATTCTCTTAAGACCTGTCAGACACTCTCATGAAGCTCACAGAACAAATGGGAAGGCAAAAGGGCAGCAGGTAAGAATAACAGTTGTATGTAAAGGAAAGGAGGCATAGGAATAGGTTCTGATTTAACTTGAGACATAATAAGCATTCTTAAATCACATAAGGTAGTATCATGCTTTCTGCTAAGAGATTGGCTGAACAAAAAAGCATAAAACCAATGGAATTTGGTCTATGATAAAATGCTAAAACCAGACCAAATGCTTCATCAGAGCTTACATACAGACAAGAACCTATGGCAAAAGGAGAGTAATACTCCACATTTATAAAATTCTTGTATATCATTTAGAAGAAATCTAAACAGGATTACAGGACCAAATAATTTTCTCTCCAGCAGGATTTAAATGACAGTCTGCACCAGTACCTTGTGTTTAAATTTTCTTAGAATTGTAGAGTGATTAAGGTAGGAGGAGGAAAGCTCAGTTTCTGGTACCTGCTTTGTATCAGGGGTCAAGCTCTGACTGTAAATATACTGCATTTTAAGTGCAGGGACTTTTTAAAGTGGTTTAGATGGGTCAAATGACAAGTTGTTTATTCCTTTGAGATGCTCAGTATTCTGGAATAATCATCAGCAATAATGGATACAACACTGACACGAATATAACATTTCTGACCTTTAAATGTTTATGTTTTCACTGATCTGGCACTCTCAGAGCAACTAGAAAAACCTTATCATGCAGTATTTTCAGCCAGCTAATTGTTAAAGAGCTGACTTTCATGCATCAGAGGTCACTACAATCTTTTATTGATAAGGAAATGTACCAAGTTTAGGTCTCGGCCTGAATTCTGGTGACAACATTAATACACCACAGTAGACAAAATGTGTTTCATAAAACTGTGCATGAACTGTTTAAAGACTGAAAGCTAGCATGTATTATAGAGAACAAGGACAGTAGTATTATAATATGTGCTTTCAAAAGACATACCTTGTTATCAAACAGTGACAGAGGCTTCACACTCTTCAGAGAAAACCTCATGATGGCATACAAGACAGTACATAACACAAACTGGTGCTCCACAAGTGGGTAGTGAATGCTTTTCTGCTCCAGGGCTAGTTCCACTATAGATACTGGTCCTTCTACTGACACCCAAGCATCTTCAGTGTCCAAGACAGGAGCCTGCATTTCATCACTACTCATGTCTGCCTGCCACAGCAACACAGAAAAGCAGTCACACACAAAATGTCATCTATGTTTGCCTCTGCAAAGGACATGGCTTTAACCACAAGTCCTCTGCAGTGAAATGGAAAAGAAAATTTACTATTGTCTAGAAGTTCATTAATATTTGTCTGAATTGAACAGTACAGAAATTAGTATAAGCATAGTCTTTAAGGTTAAATTTGAATCCATTAGTTTCTTACTTTCTACGTGGAAAAATAAAGACTTACCTCCAGCAAAGTTTGCAGAAGTTCTGAACAGCAGCCAAGGAAAGCTGTCACTGCTGTGTCACTCATACCTATGTCCTGTTAACAAATAGTGTGATTTAAGTTGTTTCACTTGGAATTGAAACAGGCTTTTATTAGCTCTGTATGTTTGAGAAGACAGTTGTTGACATAAAACACATAGTTCAGCTCATTTTGTTTACCTAAATGTACACAAATATTCATTGAAGTTTAAGAAAGATTCAGAAACAACGTGAAGAACAGGAATAAAGCTAAATGTAGCCATGTACAATACTGTATCTCTCAAGAAGACTGAATCAAGTAATCACATCTTGTAAATTTAATTTTCTGATAATTTTCTTCCAAAAAAGTTTTAATTAACATAATTATGGATGAAAAATAACGGTAATCTGTCATCTTACAGTCTCAAGGCTACCTTCTATAACATTTGAAGTTTTAATACTGTTTTAAGACAAAAGTAGTGTTACTTGCCCGTCTACACAATCTGTCCTTTGGAGCTTTTCCAACCTGTTTTTAAAAAAAATAAAAAAAAATTAATCAAAACTAAATAATGTTCATCATAATATCTGTTACCTGCATTTCAACCTTTTATGATTTTCCTACTACAAAATGAGAAGATAGTTCATTACAACTACTTAATGCAGCACATTGCATAGCTTGCTTTCAATGCCAGATTTGATACAGATCATACAGCTCAGAAATGAACATCACTGGTGCCCATATTTAGCTCATCCTTCTTAAAGCCTAGGATTAGAAACAAGGTCCCAAGGTCCTCATTCAAATCTCAAAGACAGATAAGAAAATTCCCACTGATTTCTGGAACACCAAGTGTGTTATCAGAGTGAAACACTAGGTAGGCAAGGGAAGAGGAAAGGAAGGGTGAATGCTCCAGCATATTCACTGACATGGATGAAGTGTAATGAGCAAGTTATTACATGGTTTCCATGCTTTTCCTATCTGAACTCTTCAGAAGAGACACCTCAATCATATCCTGCTTAGGAATATTACTGTATGGTCCAGTTTTTCCAATGTTGCACATGATGGAAGTTCTCTCTTCCATAGCATAAAAAGATAAAAGGAATGATTACAAAATCATGGCAAAGTCTAAACAACAGCTGAAGTGAGATTCCAGGGTCCCAAATTATGGAATTATTTAAACTCTAATACAAGTGATCCATCATGTTTCAAAGTCTGAATTCAAGACATTCAGCTGTCGATTTTGGGACTGATGAAATGCTAACAAATTTGGAAACTTTTTCTGGAAATTGGTGGCATCAGTTGTGCTACTGCTTCTATAACACAAACCATAAGGACTAGTCTCAGCTTTCAAACATACATAAATAGCTAATAAAAGTTAATGACATTTGTTATTACATGGTATTTGTTTGAGGTAACAGATGTGTGCACAAACCAGTTAATTAATAAAAACATTTCTTTCTTCTCCTGCAGGTGTTAATCCAGGTAGAAGTTATGGTGAAGGATTTGCATAAAGGCATGCAGAAAAAATGGAAAGGTTGCAGAAGAAACACCTACTGCAACTGTACACAACTGAGCCTATTTCCTGAAAGGAACGAGGGAGACGATATTCTCCAGTTCTTATAAAGCTAAACAAAAAGCAAAAGCAGAAAATGAGAGGAGCAAAGAAGAAGAAAAAGAAAAGAAAAAACAGTAGATTCTTGCAGGTTTTGTGTTGGGTTGTTGTATTTCTTTAAATCACTGTCAACACTTCCCTTTGCATCTGGACTTTTATGCTGAAAAACACTTAGCTGCTGCTGTACATCTGGCAAAGCAAGAGGCAGAGCGATCAAAGATATTCCAAATACTTGAAAAGCCCAAACCAATCGTTTATAAATACTAGTTTGACTTCTCAGTTAACAACAGCCTCAAAAACACTGTCACAACACTGCACTCACCTTGTCCATGAGATACGTAGCAGAAGAAAGCCTTTTGACTATGAATGTGTTCCACATCATCAGAGCAATACCTAGAATAATCACAGACTTGTGAGCTCCAAGGGAATTGAAAAGGGATCTGCCAAGATGGTATATGAAACAAGTAGGAATTGTGAGCTATCCTCACTGCTCTATACTTGGAATGTAGATTTGGCAGGAGCTGTCTACCTTCATGATCAAATACAGTCACAAGTGCAATGAATCATTTATTAATATTATTATATTAGACAGACTGGGTAAAACATTGTAGGAAGGCACAAACTTTAGTGGTAAGCATGGTTAAGACTAGTGCTTTAGGCATCAAGTGCACCTTATCTGCATACATAAATAGCCTACAAAAGAGACAACTATCATCACAATTGTTAAAACAGGGAATCAAGAAATGCATGAAAAGCAATTCACTGCAACTGACATGTTCCACTATTTAAATATCCCCCAAAAATTGTTTCAGAGCAACTTATTTTAAAATGTTTTTAGTTAAATATGTCAACTTTATCTAACTAACTTATTTTTACAGCTCTGATGGAAACTCTTTCAACATGAAAAACAAAAGCTTGAATGTCAGGAGAAAGTGGCTTTATTGTGGTTTTTTAAGACAAAATGGCCATCATCACTATGAACTGCAAACATTTACACCAGTCCACAAACATTTATTCTGCTGTTTCACAATTTCAGAGCTAAGTTTTAATAACAGCTTTGTACTTACCATGCTGAATGTGAGCATTAAGGATGCATCTCAAATGATCTATAGACCTAGTGAGAAAACACGCTTCCTTATGTAAAACAAAAAAAGGAAAAGAACAAGTTATTACATTATTCAAAACTTTAAAAGCTAATTTTTTCTTAAAGGGCCCAGATAGATTATCTTAAAGCTACTGTTTTTGACAGTTACAAAACTTGTAAGTTATTTTGCTATTGCAATCTTCTCTACCAGTATCTGACAAACACACAAGCAATGGCAAAGTCTGTTTCATGAATAACAATGTAAACATGAAACAATGCAATCATTTGTAATTTCAGGACTTTTAACATATGTACTGCTAACATAGTGACATGCTGAAAGGCACCTCTGCTGCCTACAGTCATATTTCAAATAAAAAAATCCATTACTGCTGGAAAGATTCATTTTTATTGAATTTTATTATGATGGGATAAGTTTTTAACAATCTCAAAGGAACCTTCTATTTTACAGCAAGTTGTTATGTTGCACAGGTCTAAGGAATGCTAACTTCAGTTTAATATCAGCTGAACTTGAGGCATTGCCCATTAGAAAAACTATAGGACAGCAGTGGAAAAAAAGGATTTTTTTTTCTTTCTCCTATGTCAATTCCAGCAGCAGCCAGGGAATCTAGGAACATCAAGAAATCCCTTTCTTCCTTAAGTAGAATGGATTCTAGTCTAACAAATTTAGTATTCTGTGATCTGTTTTAGCATATCTAAACAGAGAAAACATTCACCACTATTTTGCAGTACTCAAACTGTTCTGTACTCTCACAAAATACAGTCATAACCCTTTTTCATGCTGCTTACTTGAACCTAGTTCCCCCACTTCCAGTTTTGAGAATCTGATAGCTTTGAAACACACAGCCCTGGCTTTGTGAGGTGCCATTCAGCCTCAGAACTTGCATTCATTTTCTCAATTCAATTTCTGCTCACCACTTACAACAGAAAAATTGTAACTGGTGTGGCTTTCAAAGTCAATCTTTATAATCTATTTCTATAAACTATTACAAACCTGTGAAACTGCTTCTATCAAGCTGATCTTAACAACTATTCCCTGCAAATTAAGTTTTTTTTTACCTCTGGGTCCTTATTCCACTGCACTACATATTCCCAACAGCAATGTGCGTGGAGTACATCCACTTCAAGACTACATGGAAATTGCTGATATGCTAGTTGCAGCAGCTCTAGAAAAAGAAAACCTGAAGTTAGAAGACAGACCTTTTCCCACTACAATTTCTGCTACTTCACAACATTAACAACTAAAACGGTTCTGCAGACATTTATAAATCCAAAAAATTCATGTTATTTTCTTACCTAGGATTGTTTCCAAGCCTGCATCTGCACCTGGTTCCTCAAGAAAGATATCAGTACGCATTTCTGCAGTTTCTTCAGTACTATCCGTATCGTTTCTGATCTGGGGCAAATTCAGCACAAGAGGAGTGAAGCCTTGTTTAAAAACCCACTTTGCTACAGTGTCAGCAATACCTCCTAGGATAATGGGAAAAAAAAAAGTGTGAGGTATAGGTAACATATCCTAGACTGTCTATGCTTCAGAATCGAGGGACAAGACAAAATACGGGAGTTTTAACTACTACCTTTAATTATATAAGGATAACTCTACCAATTAAAAAACTTCCTAACCACCTGATTGGAGGCTCACAAGGCAGTCTTTACAGTAATACCCTTTCACAATTCTACATGATTTGTATAGGGTTTTTAATTAAGAAGGGTATCCAACAGAACAGTTTCCAGAGTAGTGTACATCATTAAGCAAGTAAGGATGGATCAGAAGTCTATTAGAAAGATGATCAAGCATTTCTCTCAAAAAAACCAAACAACAACAACAAAAAAAAAACAAAAAACCAGAAAACAAAAAAAAAAAATACAAAAATGTACCTTTTCCAGCTTCAAGCAATTTCTTTACAGACAGCCTGCCCAAAGGCTCAGTCTGGAGTGAGGAAACTCTTTTTGTCCTTTTGGTCACTTTGCTGTGCAGTAGTGTTTGAAGTATCAGGCAATCCTCTAACTGTTTCAGCAAAAGTTTCCAATATTCAGTATCAAGGGAAAGTGCTTCCCAGGATTCCGTGTCTGAGCCTACAATTATTTGGGAAAACTAACAGAACACATGAACTGCTTTAGGTATGTTCACCTAAAGAAGCACAGTTTTGTTTATAAAAAAATGCATAGTCTTAAAACTCAAAGCTGTATCCCAAGAGTTACATTTTAAAGAATAATTTAGTTCAAAGTATGCAATAACTACTATGCAGAGATCAATTAATATCCCACACAGTTCACAACTTGCACAGGTCCTTAAATAAAAGCCTAAGGAAATAAAAGGACCGGAAAGATCACCTTATAGTCCCATTTTTAAGTTCATATTTCATTGAAAAATGAGTTAGAATCCCTTCAAAATACTTAATTTTAAATCCTCCACTATATACATCTTCCTTACATATACGGTTAATCCGCCTACATTTCCATTTCCCACCATATGAAAAAAAATATCATCAACTCAGAAATGCTGGATCACACCACATGGCAGTTCTGTGCATTACTTTAAAAATTCTCATGTTTATCAGCAAATGCTTTGCCAGGAAGCCCAAGAATCTTTCCAGCACATATATATATATA